TAAACCAAATCTTATCCAATTATCAGCTAATACTTCATATAACCATGATATGTTATCTGTCTTAATATTTGGTGTTGGATATAGATTACATGGAGCTATATAATAGAAACATTCATCAAACATTCATATTCAATAAAATAGAAAACATACCAGCTTCATGATTACCAACAGCTGAATAGATTGTTTTATTAGGAAATATTTTTGCTAACATATTATTGATAGTATTGATGGAATAGAGTTGATCTGCACGAGATTGATTCCAAACGTTGTGAGCTGGTAAATCACCTGTATAATAAATGAAATCTACCTATGAGAGAAATAGATTATATAAAAGATATTGAACATAAGGATAAGGATTACTTTCTCAATTTCGGCTGCATATTTTAATGTTGCTTCTGCTGTCCAATAAGGAATATCACAATTTCGATAATCACCCCTAAAAATACACATACAGAAATAATAGAATACGAAATTAGCAAAGTTTTTATTACCAAAATCCTGCACCAGCATGTCCCGGAGCTAAATATGAAACAAAGACGTATGAATAAATATTGTGTAAAGATATTTACCTGGTTGACCTTGTCGACAACAGAGTGGTTGAGAACAATCAGCTTGAGAACCTGGTTTATAAGCAAAATCAACGTGAATATCAGATAGATGAAGAACATTCAGTATCGGTGATCCTGACTGAAATAAACAACGATATATTATTAAATTTAATTCCAATGTTTCTACTTACTGAAGGTGGTTGTGGTGGTCGTGGTGTTGGTTTTGGTTTATTAGGAAATGTTACATTCCAACTAAAGACAGGAAAATCTGTTTGTGGTTGACAATCAAATGCTAATGCACAAAGTTGTTTGTTAGTTAGAGGAGCTAATTCAACAACTTGAAATACGACGCCCTATACAAAATAAAAATAATATTTTTTGGAAATAAAATAAACTTCTTTTTTACCATATATTCATGAGCAGCACCAAGGCAAACATTTTCATCAAGTGATTTATATTCTTTACAGAAGAGACTAACTGCTTCATTAATAAGAGCTGTTTCTTTAAGTTCAAGAAGTAGTCGAACCTATTTAAAATAATATTAAATTTGAAGAATAATCTATAAACTCACCAATGGTGCACCAATATCACAAAGTTCACATAATCCTTCGATTTTTAAGTTTCTTGCATTCCATCGAAGTGCTTTGAAATTAGGAGATTGTTCAAAACGATGTCGATAACCAGTAAAAGCATGTAATAATTTCCGATGCGTATCATTCGTTGGATTATTTAAAATAGATTCAATAGTATTTTCCGAAATCGAACGAGTATCGATCGTTAAAATTTTAATAGTCAAGAAAAAAACTAGAGCAAAAACACAAGAATTTCGTAGCATCATAATATTTGTTATATTCAAAATAGAAGAAGAAAAAACGATGAAAATACCTTTTGATAAGTATCTTATCTTATTTGCCTTATTTTTCTTATTGTATACTAAATAAAATAGCATAAATTTAGTATCCAATGAATAATAGTTCTAGAATTTTTTTAATTATGCATAGTATCTTTTGTTTACTATTTTCTTCTTGATATTATTTACAGAATGATAAAAACTTATGCGTAGCCCTTCGCTATCACTGCAACTTCATAGTTGAAATAATAATAAAATCTTCGTAATAAGAACCTCCACCATAATTGTCATTTAAATCTGGATAATGATTAAACGTATTGTATAATCTTGTATTTGAATTAGGAAATTCATTTCTAATCATCATCACTCAGTAGAATTTACATTAGAACGGTTACTAATAAAATTAAATTCATCAAATATGCCGTTCAAGTGCGATCTTTTGAAAATCAACGTCAATTAAAATTCCATCAATCAATATCAAAAGAAGAGTTTCTAATTAATAACAAAGTCATTCCATCAACGTATCAAAATATCATTTTTCTAATGCATATGGATAACATTCCCATCAATCATACGTATTATTTAATCGTTTTTCAAAACAAAGAAAAACTCATTTTTTATATTTGTAAGATTAAGTCTTTAGAAAATCATATTTCATTTTCATCTTCTTTTTAATAGATTTTTCAAAAATATTTATATCCAGAACGAAAAACCCATCAATCAAATACCAAAATTATATCTACGATATACATCAACACCGGTTAGTGATTATTGTGTTAAAATAAATATGACTCACATTTAATATTTTTGACTATATTCAAATCTAAAAGGAAATAACTTTAATGCTAGATGTAACTATGAAAAACAAAGTTTTTAATATACTATCATAACATCAAAATGTCATTGATATATACATATCTTTCATCTTCCAGGCAGAATTCTACTATCGAGAAATCAATCAATTGATATCTGTTAAATAAGTACTACTATTTGATAAAAGACTTGGCTAATAATGAAACCATATGTGTATATGTCAATAGGCAATTGGTCGGGTAGAACTAATAGTTGAATGTAATCATAATAATATCTGAATGATATGAATTGACAGCTGGATGCACAGGAAAATAGATAATATATTTATCTGCAAAATATTCTCTATGCATTCCACAGAACTCGACACACATGACTCACATATATCAGCTGACAATTCATTTTCATTGGTTTATTTCTTACCATTATCTTTGTTCTTGATCCTCTAAGTTGATTTAATCTATTCAATATAGTAAGAAAATCGGTAGAATTCTCGAAATTCTACTTAATTATTTGAATATTTTTTAAAAATATTTTTAAATTAAATCAATATAATTGATTGGTTATTAAATTGATCTACAGGAAATAAACAAAAAAACA